GTACCAATTGGTACTGGTCCGTGGACCGGGGGTTGGGAACCACTGGTGTACAGTATATGCTATTTATATTCTTAGATGCTTGTTAAAATTGGTTTGCGGATAACTCAGAGCCTCCTTGAATAGAAAAGCTTTGACTTTTATTCTGACACTCATTAATGTTTAGAGTCTGATTGGACTATATAATCAAAAACCACAATGAAGAACATAAAACTCAATTTAGTGGAGCAACGTTACAGTTTGAGGCTGAAATAAAAATGTTTAGCTGGACCTCATTGCTGCTGGTCTGTGTCCCCGCAGGATGGTGGGACAGAGGGACGAGGGCGTCTCCCAGGCCATGGTGGACGTGACGCTCCGCCAGGGTCCAGTAGAACGAGACCTGGTGGCCGTCCTGCAGAAGCTCTACCTGTGTGCCAGCGTGGAGTTCCTCATGGCAGTCGCAGATTTCTTCCTGCAGGCTCTGCCTCCGAGTCTGGCTGCAGCCGTTCCTGCTGCCCCGAGCAACAAGCTGCCACTGAAGCAGATCGCAGAACCACGGGGCGAAACCAAACCCGGTAGGACCCGATAGGCCTGCCTTAGTTTGAGTCACTTATAATGAGAGGAAGCTCCAGTCGTCACAAACCAGTAGAGAAAAACAGCCAATGAACCTTAAAGTCTAGAGGAAAACTTGGCAGGGAGGGCCCTCTGAGGCCTCTGGGGCCCTCTGAGGCCTCTGGGGCCTCCTTGCATCAGGGCCCTCAGGCTTCCGGACCCTCAGGCCTTTGGGCCCTGGCCCCTAGGGTTCTCGGGCCGAGTTCATGAGTCGGGTTCCCAGCGCCGCTCCTCCTGACCCTGTGCTGTCTCTGCAGCCACGGCGCTGACGACCCGGCTGCGGGCGGTCGTCGTGGACCCGGAGGTGGTGTTTGTGGCCGACCTGATGAAGGCGGACGCGCCGGCGCTCGTCGCCTCGTTTCAGGGCGACTTCAGCCTGCTGGTGGAGGCGGACGGATCGCAGAGCGTAAGGGCCAACCTGAGGGAGCTGAAGGTTCTGGCCGGCCCGTTCATTCAGAGCAAGGAGAACAGAGCCGTGACCACTGTAAGTCCTGATCTGCAGAATCAGAACCAGAGCGGGGTCGATTCCTCTGATCCAGATGTGACTCGTTGTACCAGGTGCTGCAGCCCTGCTCTGTCACACTGGAAACCAGAACCAGTCGGACCCGGCCAGCCAGCGGCTCGGTGACGGTGGAGGATGTCATCGTTAAGGTTGGTTCATGGAGTTCAGCTGAAAACGTCTCTGGTTCAGTCGTAATATTCATTTTATTTCAGTTTATTCTCTAGTAGGAAGCTGTACATTTTTAAAGACATATTGAGTGAAGCTTCTGGGTCACTGGTTGCTATGGCGATGCTCTCCCTCTCTGGGGAGCCCACAGCATCACTCTTCCCATCAGACAGAAATATGACTTGTGGAAAAAAAGTCATCAGAACATCTAGACTGTTTCTGCAGGAGTCCTGATGGGTTCAACAGAACCTTCAGGTCCAGTTTCTCCAGAACCAAATCTACAGGAAGTGAATGAGAAAGTGGGCGTGTCTCTCTGGGCTCTGATTGGTCAGAAACCAGGAAGTCCTCCTGCAGTGGGAGACAGAAACACCAATGAGAAGGAGGAGCTGGAGGTGCGGAGTTGACGCTGAGCTCATGAACGGAGATTAAACCGGGTCAGAACCATCATTTGAACAATCTGTGAGAAAACTGGGTCAGGTAAAGTCCAGTTGAACTGACGGAGCTCATGGACAGGACGTCCAGTCAGGAACGGCTCACTGCTGCATTGAAACATTAAAATTCATTTAACAGATTTTTCATGTTTGTTTAATCTAATCAGACATTTTGACCAAAAGTCAAAGATTTTTATTCCCGATAGGGTCACCTGGTGTGATTCTTCATAAATTTCCTAAGGAGAAGTGAATGCAACCTGATGGGGGGCAAAGTGTTGCAGTGGTCTAGTCCAAGTCTGTCTGAGCTGATGTAACTGCGAAACAGGAAGTGCTGAACTGTCATCCAGCTCAGTGTTGGCTCACGCTCTGCTCAGATCTCTCCGGTCATCCTCAACACGGTGATGACGATAACGGCCGGGATGACGGCGAAGCCGCCGGCCGAGCCGGGTCGGGCGTCTCCGGTGGAGGTCGGCGACCTGTGGTCCGTCATGAACATCTACAACTGCAACTTCTGGTACCTGGGGGTGGACCAGGCCACCGAGATCACAGAGAGCTACCGGGAGTCTGACGGCAGCACCGAGGGGGAAACCTTCACCGCGCAGGTCAAGGTAAACCGCACCGGGCTGTCTGGAGCTTCGCTCAGGTGAGGGCGGAGCCTGTTCTTCTTCATGGAGTCTTCCGCTGTTCCAGGTGGTCCAGGTGACGCTGGAGTCGGGTTTGGGCCATCGGACGGTCCCGCTGCTGCTGGCTGAGACGTCCCTTAACGGAGTGGCCAAGAACTGGTCGTCTCTGCTGCAGCTGCAGGCCGACTTGGTGCTGGAGGTGATGCAGAGCTTCATGCAGCCAGCTTAGGAACTTTTATTATGAAAAACTTCACAGTGATTCAGTTCGGACAGAGATGAGAACTAAAACACATTCCTTATTTGGTCACCATGTATGCAAAATGAAGTGGGACTGAATCAACTTTAGCAACATTGATTTTTTTTCATTACATTCACAAAAATACATGTTTCTAAGTTTGACCCAAAATTTTGAACTTCTAAGTTTTTATTGGATCATTAAAAGAAGAAAAAGCCTCAGAACCAGCGGCCTCCACCTTCAGTTGTCCTGCATCTTGTAGATGTCCCTTTCCTTCACCTGGCTCCAATATCAGCTCATTAGAATTACAATATTTTAGGAAATGTGCAGGATTAGTTTTAGTTCTGATGTGCTTTATGTGTACAGAGTGAAGGCACAATGAGCGTGTGCTTCTACCTTCACTTTTCAATCTAAGCTTTGTTCTCTTGCCATTGACAGGAATTTAAATGTTGTTGATCTATTTCTGAACTACTTTTGTCAGCTGGTTGTGTTTTTACTTGGAAAGGTTAAGAAGGACCAAACAATAAACTATATAGATATTAGCTGAGCCAATGTTAGTGAGGCAGATTAACTCCAGAGGAAGTCACAGGAAACCACTGATCTAAAGAATTGGACTATCAAAATAAAGCTCAACGTTAATGTCCAAAGAGAGGAAGAGACTTAATCTCATTGTGTTGGCCAAAGGACCCCATCTCTTTCAAAATAAAGTTGAAAAGAGTCTTCAGAGTAAAGGTCTAGATCTCAGCAAGATTGAAACCCAAAGGATCCCTGCTGGTCTGGGTTTCAGTTCCAACGATGATCCAACGAGCAAATGAATCAGTGACCTGGTTCCTTTAGTGTCCTTGGGTTAGGGGTTGAAATGTTGACGGGGCAGGAAGTCCAGAGCTTCACCTTTCACTAAATCTTTTTCCTGAAGCACATTAAAACATTTCTAAAGTCCTGAACAATCTGCAGAGTGTCAGTTGAAAGAATAACATCCCACATGACCTTTTCCTGCTGATCTGGGTTTCAGTTCAGTCCAATGATGTTCAGTTTGCTTTGCTACAAGGAATCCTCAGATTCGAGTTATTTTCTTTGATGATGGAAACAAGCTGACAGTCTGTTTGTGTTTGCAGGTGAACTATTTTAACGAGGTCCACGCCGTGTGGGAACCGCTAATAGAGCGAGTGGACAGCGGCCGGCGCCGCTGGAACCTGGAGCTGGAGGTAACGGATCTCTCCTCATACTGAGCACGACTCGTTTAGCTCCACCGCCCTGATCGGGGCTCAGATCAGTCGACTATGTTGAGAGTTTGATTGGGTGATTCTTTTTTTCTGCACAGATTAAGAATAATCCAGTCATGGACAAGAGTCCTGTGCATGGAGATGACTTTGTGTTTCTTCCTGAACCTCAAACTGCCATCAGCATCTGCTCCAAAGACACCCTGAACATCACCATCTCCAAGTCCAGCCTCAGCGTCTTCCAAAAGCTTGCAGAGGTACACCTCGACCCTTCTGACAGTCCAGCAGGGGGTGCTGTTTGGCAGGTCTCCATTTGAAGGTGGAAATGCCCTTTAATGCTGTTTGTTCTCCTTCAGGCATTCAGTGAGGGAGCAGCCTCAGCCTTCGACTACACTCTGAAGGAGAAACCTCCCTTCACCCTGAGAAATGCTCTAGGCATCCCAATTATCGTGCAGCACAGCGCCAACCTGAGGCCGGTCGGATCTGTGGCACAAGGAAAACTTCACGAGCTGCCAGTGGATCAGAGCATGGACCTGATGCACTCTGCTTTTGATTCCACAATCAGAGGGAAACTGTCAGCTCTGCAGCGTCAGGAGAGCGGCCTGTTTAACCTCACCATCGGTCTGAAACTCCCTCTGATCGCTGCCTTTCCTCTAAGTCCTGACAGTTTTAGTGACGCTGTCTGTCTGAACCTGCAGTGCCTTCTGGGTACAGCGAGATCTCCAACATCGCAGTGGATAATCCTGGCAGACGTCTCTACAACGTGCGAGGTCCAATGCTGCAGGAGGCGGTGTCGGTGCTGCTGCAGATTGATGCTGCTGAAGGCAACAAGATCATCACTGTACGCTCCCCCCTGCAGGTCAGAACCCAAACTCTCCCCACTTCATTGTAACCAACACTTGCTGAGACGCCCACCGTCTCCATCTGTGTCTGCAGATTATAAACCACTTCACAGAACCCTTCACCATCCTGAAATACTGCCCAGCATCCAGAACCCTGCAGAGCATTGGCACAGCGGAGCCGGAACGGGAGTTTCATGTTGATCTAGAAGCATACAGGTGGGGCTCTCCGAGGGGTTCTCGGCTATGCCGGGGTATCTGGTTCTGTCGAACGGCATGGAGCTGAACGTGTCCCGTCGTCTCTTTCTGGCAGGTGCCAGCTATTTGTCCGTCCAGCGGGTCAGCTGGACGGGCTGTACGGTCCGTCTTCCAGCTGCGTGGCCTGGAAGGAGCAGGTCCACTGCAGCTCTGAGGTCCAGTCCGTGCTGCAGTGTCCTGCGTCGGACAGCAACCTGCTGCCGCTCATGGTCAGCACGCTGGCCGTTCCTGACGACCTGCGGCACATCAGCAGCCGCGGTGAGGAGGACTGGGACCCCGCCTACATCCTCCACCTGCATCCAATGGCAGCGCTGTGCAACCTGCTGCCGTACACCGTCAGCTACATCATGGAGGTAGGCCGTCCGTCTGCCTATTGATCGATCCAACGAGTAAATGAATCAGTGACCTGGTTCCTTTAGTGTCCTTGGGTTAGGGGTTGAAATGTTGACGGGGCAGGAAGTCCAGAGCTTCACCTTTCACTAAATCTTTTTCCTGAAGCACATTAAAACATTTCTAAAGTCCTGAACAATCTGCAGAGTGTCAGTTGAAAGAATAACATCCCACATGACCTTTTCCTCGCCCCTTCACAATGACCTCAGCAGGCCTTCAACACCTGATTGTAATTGGTTTTTAAACTCTCTACGGATAAAATTGCCAACATCAGAGCCAGTATCTTGCCGTCTGGACCCTCGACCTCTGACCTGTGGTCCTCTTTACCCCATAATGAGATCACTGGTCTTTTGAAGCATATGCCGCTGTCAGCGAGTCCACTGGGTGTTTTCCCAACATCTCTTTTTAATGATATTTTAACTGCATCGGCCCAGAGCAGTCAGCTTGATAAATTCGTCTCTTTGTTCAGAATTTGTTCCTCGATGTTTGAAAACTGCTGCTAAAAAAGCCCAACCTGGATTCGTCTCTGCCTGAAAGCTGCAGACCCATCTCTAAACTTCCTTTTGTGTCCAAGATCCTTGAGAAGGTTGTAGCGCAACAACTGAACTCTTTTCTTGAGGAAAATGACCTTATGGACAATTTTTAATCTGGTTTTCGTAGACTGCATTCCACAGAAACAGCATGAGTAAAGGTTTCTACTGATATGTTGATGGCAGCTGATTCTGGAAGCTTCACTGTTTGTTCTGGACCCGACTTCAGCTTTTCACACTGGATCTCACTGTCCTTATCAACAGACTAAGATCTTTCTGGTGTTTCTGGCTCCGTCTTAAACTGGTTTAACTCTTATTTATCTGACAGGTCTGTTCCTGTTTCTATGAACAGTGGTCACTCTGGTGCTGGGAGGCCCCAGGGTTCAGTTTTGGGCCCACTGGGCCTTATTTTAAATCGCTACAGTATCGTCTCATACCATGTGTATGCTGACGATATTCACATATATTGTTCATTTCCATCCTCTGAATTGTATAAATTGACTGAACTCAGTAACTGCCTGTCTGGCACTAAAATCTGTCTGAATGACAACCACCTCAGGCAGGACCGAGACGCTTATCGTAGCTCCTGGTGATAAAATCACGGAAATCAGGAAGCATCTTGNGTTTTTAAACCCTTGGAACAAAAATAGCCTCAGAAATCTGGGCGTTCTGTCATTGGACAATCATTGCAAACTGTTAGTTGGCAACTGATTTGACCATTTAAGGAATATTTCGAAGCTGCGAGCCATTTTATCACATGATGAGTTAGAAAGTCTGTCCATTTTTATTTCTTCTCGTTCAGACTTCGGTAACGGCCTTTTAGTGGCTCTGAGTGAATCCTCCATGGCTGCAGCCGGGCTTTGAACCAGAACCCACAGAACAGATCACATAACTCCGGTTCTGGCCTCTCTGCTCTGGCTCCCGGTGTATTGTAGGACTCACTTTAAAATTTGGTGTTAACTTTTAAAGCACTTCATGGTGAGGCTCCCAAATATAAATTGGACCTTCTGCAGCCTCTCTGTCCGTCCAGGTGGAGCCCCGAGGCTCTGGAACGTCTCCCTCCATCAAAGCTGCTCCGAGTCGACCGACGCATTTAAAAAGTCTCAAGACTTCAGACGGGCTTTTGGTTCATTTTGTTCATTTTAGATTCTTTTATTATTGACGTTTCCTTTGTTGTAAAGCACTTTGTGATGTTTATGTCTGAAAGGTGCTATATAAATAAAGTTTACTTACTCACCTTTTACCGTCATGTTTGGGTTAGAATATGTTGGGTTCCCTTCATCCAAGAAAAACGGGTCATTAAATCTGACCTGTGTGTTTTGTTGTGCTTGGTGTCCCACAGAACTCGGCTGAAGTCTATGAGATTCAGGAGGGCAGCACCTCAGACCTGCTGAACGCCCGCGTGTCGGGTGAGATCATGTCTGTGGCGCTGATCCAGTACCAGGGCCGGGGCTGGCACGGACACATCCAGATTAAACAGGAACTGCCGGAGTTTTTCGCCGTGTGCCTGACCTGCGACACGGATGCGGCGCTGACGGTGGACGTGAGCGTTCACGTGATGAAGACGGCGAGCCGCGTCCTGCTGTCGCTCTTCAGTCCGTACTGGATCATCAACAAGACGAGCCGGGTGCTTCAGTACAGCTCAGAGGACGCCGTCTTCAAGCATCCGGCCGAGTACCGAGATGTCGTCCTCTTCTCCTTCAAGAAATCAAATCTGTTCACCAAAAGCAAGGTGAGAGTTTCATCAGACCGCCTTAAGGAGCTCAGAACCACGAACCGATTGTTGTTCAGTTGAATGTGAAGACTTTTCTATATTTGTTCTTAAGTTTTTCTCTCACAGGTTTAGTGATATGAAAACTTATTTACCCAACATTTATACTGCAGTTAGGGCTGATCGCTGATATTTACCTATATGAATACATCAGAGGTCGCCGTAACAGATTATTTTCTGCATTTGACCTGTAATTTTAAAGCCCGTCCGTCATTTGACAGGTTATAATTCACACTCTTGACTGGAGCTCATGGCAGATGTTATAGACTTTAGGGTTAGTTCATTGCAGAGGCAACTAAAATGAGTTAATAAGAGATCCTTTCTGAATATCATCTCATGGACTCTGAACTAAATGGGTCTTTCTGACTGGAGCTGACAGCGTGATGGACCGGACGCTTTGTAGGTGTGTGTGTGTGTGTGTGTGTGTGTGTGTGTGTGTGTGTGTGTGTGTGTGTGTGTGTGTGTGTGTGTGTGTGTGTGTGTGTGTGTGTTTGTCCACCATTTCATCACAGTGATGCAACGATCATACCACTGGCTTTTCTTTGCTTCAGTTAAATTTCACACAATCCTTCACTACATCACCAACACACAGCAACAAGGGGGAAATAATCAGCTGTCAATATCGGCCCAGTTTCACTTATCAGATTGATCAGCCCTAGGTCAATCAGTCACTGGACATATTTCCTCCATCATTGGATGGTTTTGATCAGATCTGCTTTTTACTAAATGAAACTTCGGCTCCCCAGATGCTGACCGGCTCAGTTTTGGTTTTTCTGCCTGAGCCTCCATCTGGATTTGGGTCTTAGCATCTTCTTCCTGCATGTGAATTGGAATTTATTTCATAAGGAACAGTGCGTATTAATCAGCATGACCGCGTTAAAACAACGTGTGGTCGCTTTGCAGCTGCAGCTCTGCATCTCCACCAGCTCCTTTTCTGACGGCTTCTCCCTGGACACAGTGGGGAGCTACGGTTGCGTCCGCTGTCCCTCCACCAACATGGACTTTCTGGTACGTCCCATTGTCTCCTACTGGTTTTAGCTCTGAGTGGCTGTTCTGTGAAGTTCCTCCTGTCGCCCCCTGCAGGTGGGTGTCAGCATCCAGATGAGCAGCTTCAACCTGACCAGAATCGTCACCTTCAGTCCGTTCTACACGCTGGTCAACAAGTCTTCATACGAACTGGAGGTGGGAGAACTCCTCAGCCAGACGGCCACCAGGTGGCACTACGTTCCGTCCACCGAGGTGAGGAGAACTGGCAGCAGAACCCGGTCCGTGTCAGAACCTGGCCCGTTTCGATCTCCTGCTGTTGTTTTGCAGTGCCTCCCTCTGTGGCCGGAGAACGGCTCCAACAAGCTTTGTGTCCGAGTGGTGGGATCACTGTCCCACTCCAAGTTCTTCTTCTTCAGCCAGCAAGACAACGGCACCCTGCTGAGCATGGACATGGTCAGTGTTTGTCTCTGGACCTTTGACCTTTAAAGCACTTCCAGTCTTTGACCTGAGAGTCTTTGCAGTGTGGAGGGATCATGGTGGACATCAACGTCTCCAATCACGCCACCATCATCAGCTTCAGTGAATATTATGACGGAGCCGCCCCCGCCCTGCTGATTAACCACACGCCCTGGGCCACCATCAGCTACAGGCAGAGGTCACTCACACACACACACACACACACACACACACACACACACACACACACACACACACACATGCACCTAACTGTAACCCTACCCTATCACAGGAAGGTTAGACAAAACGGTCCAAAGAAACCAGGTTGCTGCAGCGTATCAGAAAAGATTAACATGATGCTATCCGACAGGTTTCTTCTCTCATCTGTACTTCCATAACGCTGTGACCTTTAACCTTCTGGGTGGTGTAATTAGTGTCCAGTGTGAGCATGTGGTGCTCTGAACAACTGGCTACATGTGACAGTTGCGGCCCGGCTCAGATGACCGCACCAAGAAACTGAGGGAACTTGACACCAGAAACTATTCTAAGACGTTTGGAGGCTTTTATTATTAAAATGAAGTCTACGGGAAGGGGGCGGCAGCCCAGGAATCACTGCACCGACGTCTGGTCCTCCGTCAGGCACAGATCCTCTTCAGACATTGACCAGCTGGCCTTCACAGCTGCTCTGCTCCCAGGTACGGCCCGGTGACGCCTTCATGTGCGGTCCATCTTTGGCATCAAGCAGAGGAAACAAATGGGGAGATGCAGAAACTAAAACTGGGTAGAGAATTGCAAGGATAACAGTCGTCTTGGAGGAAGAAATGTATTCAGAAAAAGAACCCGAACGATATGATTGGTTATTATAGAAACTTTTGAAATCAGATGGAAGAAGAAACAACAGCAAAACTCACACACTGAGTGGAAATGTTTCTAGTCAGTGTGACGGGAACTGGGGTGATTGGGGCTGAACAGCTTCAGACCCAGCAGAAAAGATGCTGACCGCAGGAAAGGCTTCAAAGGAGCAGAATGATTGGAGTCTGGAGTGAAGGAAGAAGGTCGTGTGATTTGATTTACTCCCTTCCAGAATGACGGGCGCTTCAGTAAGAAGAGGCCGATGAAGCGATGCTCCCATGGTTTCTAAATCTTTCTCTACTAACTGGCTGATAACATTTCAACCACTAAACACCAACCAGGTCCTCTGTAACTGTGCCCCCCCCCCATTGCAGATAAATTGGCTCCAGACTGAACTTGACGCTCGAGTCATTTTTTTCCTCCTCACCCTGAAACTATATTTCTGACTCCTGCAGTGGTTCAGAGGTGACCCACAAGCTGGAACCCTGCGAGGCCCGACGCTTTGCTTGGGACGACCCTGCAGGAACCCGCAAGCTCTGCTGGAGCTGCAAGGAGCATTCAGGGGAGCTGGACCTGCTGCAGGTCTGTGCTGCACACATCTTCATCTGTTTCAGTGCCTTCTGGACGGTAGACATACGGTTATGTTCATAATAATAGGGCTGTGTTTCAAAAGGTGAGTAAATCTCAAAATTTGCCAAATAAATTGTATTTTGATAAAAACAAATGCATCGAGGACTCTGCACATTCTATTTCAAAACAAGAAAATCAGAAAAAGTAGTTGAACATAATATTTTACGGAAAATCAAGAGATATAATGTTAAAAAAATAGCAGTGTTGACATCTTTCTTCATAAGATGAAAAATATACTGTATAATCTAAGAAATCCTTGAAGATTTAACTTTCCTGTGAATCATAAACTAATATTTAGTCCATAATTCTGGCCAGCAGGACAACCGTTCTACGTTCCACAATTAAATGTAGTACAATGTAGCTTCAAGACATCTGTCTTTTTTTAACTTATTTTTTATTGAACGTTTATTTGAACAGATACAGTGGAGAGGCATCAATAATTCATATTTATATACAATGTTAAACATCCATGTCCATATTTAACTGGTTATAAAAGTGGCATCCTCCTTACAGCTCTAATCGCTCCATTTTCCCCATTTCACAACAAACTGGTCCTCCTGCAGTCTTAGTCTGTGACTGATTTTCTCCTCCACAACGCTCAGCCACCGCTCTATACCATAAAGTCATATTTTTATCAGACATTCATCATCCTTTTGAATGACGTCCTGTGTGAGGCATCCCAGGCAGAGTGTTTTACATGATCTGGGTATTCCATATCCCAATATGTTTTTCAAAATAAGACAAACATTATGCCAGTGTGTGGTTAGCTTTCACAGGACCAGAATATGTGTCTCCAGCATGGCTGTGAACTGGAGACCATCCTGGTCCTGATCTTTGGTGTTATAAAAAATCTAATCATGTTTTTCCAATTAAATTCCCTCCACACACGGGAGCAGGTGGCTGTGCACTGCATTCTACAGATTTTAAACCATTCCTCCCCGCTTATATGTTCCTTCAGTTCCTCTTCCCATTTTTCTTTAATGTACATAGTAGCTGTCTTCCTGCCTGCCATCCCTGGTACAGTGCTGAAATTTCCCTCATAGGTCTTATGAAACATCTCTATTATTTTACTTACGCTGGTTTTTATCTCTTTCTCATAATAATCTTTTATTTGCAAGTATCTATACTGGTCTTGATCCTCCGATTCATATTTTTCCTTTAAGCTATTAAAACTCAGCAGTTTGCCCCTTTCAACCAATTTACACATTGCTGTAATACCTTTATTTGCCCACTGTTTGAAACATTGATCATAAATTCCTGGTTTGAACCTTGGGTCCCAAGCAAACCAGCTCAAACTCCTTGTTTCCTTCTCTAATTTATAATGATCAATTACTGTGTTCCATATTTCTATTGGAGTCTTAGTTATTGAATCTAGCTTATTGCTTAATTTGCTTAAGAGTATTTTTATGTGCCATTAAATTTCTAGCTTCTATGTCTTTCCTACCCATTTCCAGATTTTTCCATTTTGAAACATACTCATCATTGCACCAACATACCAGATTTGTGCAGCCCAGAAATATTCTCTTAGGTCTGGTAAACCCAGACCTCCTCTGGGGAGGTTTATATCTGACCCTGGGTTTCTTCCTGCTCCATATAAACCTTGAAATCCATCTGTCCCATTCTACAAAGTGTTTTTGCGGAATAGTCAGTGGCAGGGACTGAAACTGGTGTAGCAGTCGTGGTAAAATATTTATTTTAATTATCTTCACTCTAGAACTGAGGTCAAAGCCAATGTCCATCCATCGCCCCAGGTCCTTCTTGATATTGTGGTTTATTTCTAAATAATTTGCATCATAGAGTTTGTCAATTGTTTTGGTTATGTTTACCCCCAAATATTTTATAGATTTTTCATTCCACTTAAGTTTGTAGGTATCCCTTATTTTCTGCTGTGGGGAGTAATTTATTGTTAGGATCTGTGTTTTTTACACACTCATTTTGTATACAGAAAATTTCCCATAATCCTCAAGCAAACTCAGTTTTTTTAATACTATCTTTATTAGGCATTTTGAGATTTATACAGACAAACAAACATATAAACAACAATCGAGAAAAAAAAAAAAAGACAAAACTTACACAGCACAGCTGCCAGAATCAGAAGAGAAAATTTGGAGGCATGTAAATAAGTCGCAGCATTCTCTTGACAGACACCAGTTGAGCTACAGACTCAATGACATGTCATTTAGGTTCACTTTGTTAATTTAGAAATATTTAAGAACATGTTCCCATCTTCTTTTAAAGGTATAAAATGTTCCATCCAGACAGCATCTCAATCTTTCTAATACAATCACTTCAGAAAAAAGGTTTTTCCATAGCTGGATCGATCTCCATTTAACCATTATTACTTTTCTGGCCAACATTAATAAGAATTGCACAGTCTCTTTGTGAGTACCCAGGTGAGTGGGTATGAGTCCAAGTAGACAAAGCACTGGACCAGGATGCACTGTTTGTCCTATAGCAGAGCTGATTTCACGACACACTGCCTGCCAGAATGCCTCTATAATTTTACATTCCCATAGGCAGTGAATTCTAGTTCCTGTACCTACTTTACATTTAGGACAGTTTGGAGAACTTCCTGGTGTGTACTTGCTATATATATATGGTGATATGTATACATTATGTAAAATATTATATTGCATTTCTTTATATCGGTTACAAACTGAGATTCTGGAAGGCAGAGTCAAGATGTCTTCCCATGCTTCTGAATCAATTGTGCTTTTCAGAGTTCTGCTCCAGGTTGATCGTAAATTCTCCAAGTTATCTTTCCTTGGCGTTTGTAACTCAGCATAGAATCTTGACACAAATCTCCCACGTTTATGACAATCAAGAATAGCTTTATCAAGTAAATAACAATCCACCTCTAGTGAGTCAGTTTTTGCCTTAACATAATGCCTTAGTTGAAGGTATTTATA